TATCAATAGGGTTTACTATTGATGAAATCATAGTATTTCAATTTTGATACTAACTTTCATGAGGAAACTAGTTTTTGATAATCATATCTGTTCCTAGTTTGTTGTTCTGATCCTACTTCATCAATCATCTTTCATACTGCAATAGAACTTAGAAGTACAGTATTTCAGACCATTTAAATGAGGTTTGCTATGTCAATGGAACTGAAGTTCTTAAAGCACAAGCAGGGGACGATTTTGAGTGTGACGTTCCAATTATAGAAAAAAGTACAGTACTGCTGCAGGAACCAGTTATCTTACTGTCTTATACCCTCCTCTAGATTTTGTTACATTTGAGTTGCAAAGATATGTCACACTCAAGGACATAATATCCTATACATCCCCCATCACACCAGGTAGTTCTTTACTATAGACTCTCGTGAATACATAAATAAACTTTATTTATTTTACAACAATTGCAAAATAAGTTTTTGCAACTTAAATTTGTCTCTCTTGTTCACCCAGATGGAAACACATGATGATTCTACTGTGGGAGGAAACCAAAGTACCCAGGTGGTCGGGTAGGTGAACCCTTACCTTTTCATGTCTGTTCCAGGAATTGAACCCAGAACATTCAGATGAAAGGTAAGTGTGTTACCACTTTGCCATCTGACCACCCTGATAGTCTCTCATGAAGAACAAAAGTCAAGCTTTTTATCTATAAAATTCACTCAAGGGAGAAAAATGGCCTCTGTAGGGAGTGGTGTAATATACTGCAAAATCACTATTTTTTGTGGGTGATTTATTTGAATTGGTCTTGTCATTACCATCAATCACAAATATATATTTTCCTGGTCTGTTAAAGTATGACTGTAAGAAATATGAGATTTGTTTTCCTTGAAATTAAATGCCAATTTTTTAAAAAATCATGAATATTGAGCTACTATAGAAAAGGATGATTTTACAGCAGAGCTTACAATACTGTGAAATACACTGGGAACCAAAACAGTGGAATTTATATATAGCATGGCCAAAGAAAAGTTTGAGTCAGTTACAAAATTTTCAACAAATAACATTTTAAGTATAAATCGTTGCACTCTGCAGGTCAAAATTTTCATTCCCTAAAATTAACAGATAAAATGTCCTAATTATAAACCTTGATAATCAAATTTCTTAGCTTATTGACTCAAGATAAAGACATGTAATTAAACTATGAATACCCTTAAAGGGACAAATAACATTTACAGCTATGTATATACACAGAGCCATAAGGGACTTTTATAGATCTTGATAGCTAGTAGTCTGGGCTTATCATATGATGTTTACAATCTTGACATACTTTAGAATTATTAGCTATCGTAAGCATTACTCTAGAGTATGTTTGCACATTTATTTTCCAAATCTAAACAGGCTACATTGAGAGACTGATTGCCTGGACTATACAACATGTTTAAAGGCCAGATAAAGAAATCATTTGCTATAGACAGGCCCAGGTGACCAAGCTCAAATGTTCATATCTAAATATATAAAGATTTGTCATCTTTGGAACAGCAACAAACAGTACTATTGAACCTGTTTTATCTTTTTGATTTTAGACGAGACAAATGAAAGTTTATTTTGATTTATTTTGATGAAATTTAAAAATTGTTCAAAACTATCAACAACATTTATGCACTTGTTTCACATATCAGAATTTTGAAGTAAGCAAACATTAAAATCTAACCATATGCCAGACTGTAACCCATGTTTTATGAAGTCAATACCATTAAAATTTGATTACTTTAGATACAATAAGATTGAAATCTTCATTTTTTTATTTCCAATAAATGCAATAACAAATATCAGAATATTTAAAATTTATTTTAAAATATTATAAAACACATTTTATCACTTACACAGACATACATAATTTAGCATTTAGCTGATTCTACTAAGCTGTTTAGATCTCTATCCACTAACGATAGAAATTTTCAAACAGATTTTAATTAATGTTATTGAATTATTTCTATCAAATCTCCTTGACATTTACCTCCTGCATTAAGTGAAATCTCAACTTTCCATAGACTTTAACCTCTGGTCAGTAGTGTACACCATACACTATATATATATCATACACACAGCTGACTTGTAGACACCTGATAATCAGCCTTTGGTAATTTAGAGAACTAATCTATTTTCAATGACTTCTCTCTTTAGTGCTAGGTCAGCGATGTACAAGAAGGGCTTTAAAACACAGAAATGCTCAGGTTAGCCTAAACGTCTCCCTACAGCTCAATTAAACATGTTAATCTCTGCAAAATTTCCTTGCCTGCATTCAAGATAGATAAAATCTCAAATTATCTCCCCCTTTTAAGCTCTTCATTACAGGTATTTCTTTGTCTTTCTTCAGAATATTTCAAACACCTATATATATATTTGACTTTTTAAATCAAGCCTAATTGATAAGGAATCAAGATTTCCCTATCTGTAGTTTTTAGGTCTGAATGAATAACATTGACAGTTTCAGTCTATTACTAATGTAATGCAGCAGATGGTGCTACCACTTTATACATCTACAAATCCTGATATTATTATATTTAATTCTTCAATAAATATGACTGACAGATCAAAGGATCGAAATCAACATCTGAATGAGTAAAAGGACATTACTTTCTTCATGAAAGGATCATAAAACTTAAGGTTGTTGATGATTAAACATGATATCATTTGATTTATGATTTTCTGTTGTGTTACATTGTGACACTTTGATCCTGGAATTACAAAATATCATCAGAATTTCAACACTTAATAATAAAATGATAAAATTTAAGGTATTTTACCAACCTGACAACCAAAAAAAAAACGTCATAATTAAAGATAATGAATCAAAACTAATTCAGCTGACTTGTCACTATCTCAGTGTTAATATTATACACTGCACTTCATAACTTTATGTTTGGCATTGTTTTTAAGGAAGATATTGAAAAGGTAAACAAGTATATGTATACCAAGTTGATAAATCTTTGAGAAAATAGTTTAAAAATCATGTTTAATTATTAAGTAATATTTTCCTTTCAGTTATATCAATATATACATGTATAAATACAGCAAACGTTTGATGGTATGCAAATCTTTTTTTAAACTAATGGGTTTTTTAATAGGTAAAACTTATTTACATAGAAATGTATATATAAATCAAGTTAAAACATGAAATTGTATGTTTGTTTTCAAAACTTCACACATAATGCCAATCAAAGATTAGCTTATGTTGATGCATTCATTATGTAAATTTCAAATACAATTTGACTAATTGATTTGACCTACTTCAAACTGAAAAGCCATTGGTATTTGAACATAAATTTTTACATACAAACAATACACACATACAAAGCAGATACACAATACATACTCATGAAAATACATCAATTACATCTTTTTTTTAAAAAAAAAATCATAAATGTGTAAAAATTCATTGAAAAAAGTGCTTACCACGGACTGGAACAAATTTTAAGCCATGTCAATGAAAAATCACTTTTGTATGTTGAAAGGTTGGGGGCGGTTGTAATATACATGAAGTTTTATACCTGTAAGCACAATACTAATCTCCTATATAATACTAGTAGGACTGTCTGCAAATACTTCAGCATGCCAAGTCTAACTTATAAATCCATTTAGAATGTGACTTATCTGTTGTTCAAAAAACTACACCAGTATAGTCGAATGCCTTTTGTATTTTATTGTTTGTATTTAATCCTAGGCAGAATGAATTCTTAAAACACAGTAATCAGTATATAGTGTTAAAAACACGCCAAGGTGTCCCACCACAGTCAAACTTACCACTAGAACTCTTAAAGAATAGTTAACTTAAAAAACATCTGCTAAACTTTTATCAGTATCTCCTGTTTTATACACATGATTGGATTTTCAACCCTTTAAAATATGTGGTCTTCACATAATCATACTTAATATTCTCATATTATTTTCAAGTTAAACTTTCATTTTCTTGAGGAGAAAAATGATTTTCATCAAACCTATGTTCAGTTGATCAGAGATTTTAACCTCTGGTATTGTAGAACATGCCAGGACAAATGTAATAACCTGTAAAGGAATTAGTTAAAGACCTTTGGAAAACAATGCTGTAGTAAATATACTTTAATACTGGTGAAATTAAATGTAAAATTAGCATTCAAAACATTTTCTTGATTTATCAATCTATTTATACTTTAATAGCATTAGCTTGCTAATAAATTCTACTTCAAACTAATTACAGATAATTTTCAATTTATTTATTTTCATAAATATTGCAATGGAGATAATTTTTATATTATATATAAATTCTGTTTTTCTGAATATTTACCACATAATCCAAAGTCTACTAGTACATGTTTTTATTACATATTTTTATCAATTAAATTGATGGTTGGAAGCTTGTAAAAGGGATTTCTGGGCTTTTCTATAGGCCTGTGTTTATGCCTATCTTATGAGCCAATGAGAATTGATATTGAAACCTGAACAATGTTTGCTAGAGGAGATGACATGATCATGATCAGCCTATGATTGCAAAAGAGCTTAACCATGAAGACCTATGGAGATCCCACCGAGACGATTTATCTCACAAAGTTAACAAGCTTTGGCACCTCCTACAGGTAAACATATAGATAAAGCTATATACCCAATATTAGTTTTAGTTCTAAGACTTAATAGGTTATAGGCAAACGATAAAATTTGTATTTTTTTTCAAATATTTTTCGAGATACCAGTAATTACATCAATGGGCTTCAACCAAATGAAAGCTTATATGGAATGAAGGGTAACTTACTGATGATAAAGAAAAATTTAAACCATTTGCCCAAATTCAGGATGGCTGTTGACACAAAAATAAAAATCTATATGCAAGATTATCAATTTCAATTATCAAAAAAAGGAATGACTTGTGATTAAAGCTTACCACACTTAAAAATCAGAACTGTGTCACTGAAGACAGAACACTGCAAAAGCTTCACCCGATTTGGAGCATGTTACTTTTTTCAGTAATGTTAACTCACCTTGAATACTGAAGGAAACTTTAACTCCGTTTTTACGCATATGATCAATCGCTGATTCAATGTAATCTTCTGGTTTATCACAACCATTCAGCTGTAAATAAATTACATGCATATTTAAAATGAAAATTGGATAAGTTTCAAGAAAATAGCTCTTAATGCAAAAGAGGAGAATTTAAATGTAATTCAGACATTCTTAATTTAACAACCCATTGATATATTTAAGACCAAGACTTTTTAGACTTATGATCACTATCAAATGATAATGTTGTCCAAAAACTTGGGGAAGGTGTTTTCAGGGAAAGTAAAGCTGGAAAATATCTAGAGATAAAGTTAGAGCCAATCTTTTTTTTTTATATATCTCTGAAACCATTCTCAAATTCAATCAATTTCTAATTTAGATACAAAAAGTTGAAGCATTTTTTTCTTTAAGTCTGTTGTTACATCTATATAGATTTATACATCCAAAAAATGTTTTCCTTTCCTCTTCTTTTTCAAAATAAAATATATATCATTGATTGAATTATATATCAATTAATTAAATATTTTTTCTATCATAACATAGTTTTACATTTCATAATTTACTGTTACCTAGTTTTCCTTACAATTTATTCCAGGGACAATAACTATGTCCAATTTATTTTAATTTCATTTCAACACTTATTAGTGTAATGAAAGTATTTTCTTTCCAATGCAGTACAATTCCAATCTAATTTTTGCTGATCAGCAGAAATGTTCCATGCCAAATACATGGAGACCAGGTAGTAGCGGCTTGAGATCTGTTAGCTTAATTAAATAGAAAGAAATATTTTCTCTGCAAAAGATTAAAAATTATTGAAATTTATCAACAAAGGGATTTCATCTTTAAAATGTAATAAGGTATTAGGTACCAGACACCGCCATCACATTGGACGAAGTAGGAAATCTGAGTACTAAACTATATAACTAACCAACTAACATGTTCTTATATCTACATTATCGCAGCTGCCATCCCGCACATCAAAAACACAGCATACCGTTTTCACAAGCACTCAGGATTAAAAAGATATGCAGTAATCAGATCAATTTTGAAAAGGAGATAAAAAACTTAGTTGATAGACGAAAAACTTTAAATGATTACATACAACAGACTGGTTTCAAAAGGATTTATTTCATTTAATTTAGTTGATCACAGTAACATGATTATAATAGTAACGGTAGATTGCATCAAGCCTAACAGCATAATCATATATTGTCCATTACGTAACTCTTATTATTACGTCATTGTATTATTTGGTCCAGAATGTATGTACTTCAGGGAAACATTGTGAGTGTAAGACTATCCCATCGAAGCCTTCACAGGCGAAACTAGTCGACAGTAAAGAAACCTAAAACTTATCTTCCCCAACTTGTTGTGTCCTACCACCTCCCTAGATTTCTATTTCTTCTTGTGGGACGCCCTGCATACCTTCAGGTATCCAGGCAGTGGATGACTGAACATCACTGAACTCTAAACTACAGGCGTTGGCTCTCTCTTTGAAGCTTTTAAGGTATCAAAAGGGTTTTTTTCTAAAGTAAGTCTTTATAGATATAAATAGATATAGATATTTGAGTATTTTTCCTAAGGTAAAGCTGACAATTCTTTTGAATGATTAGATGCTTGATTTGTCAACTTAAAGCTGAGTACCAATATTACACCTAATGCAATATTAATTACTACCAGTGCATAGTCCTACCTGCCGTCAATGAATACCTGGTCGTGGTTAGAACGTTATGCCACAGTTGAGTGGTATAATGGTCATACAACCGCAACATAATCTATAAGGCATAATTGACGAAGCCTTGTTAGCATTGCATTTTTATTTATCCTATCCCTTCCTTCATTTCTCTTCCTTTTTATTTATTTGCTATGGCTCAAACGAAACTATCCCTTATCTTAATGCAGTGCATCATTTAGAAATCCATATATATTGGATCTAGACAACATATGATATTTTGTGTAAGAAATATATTAACAGTCTTTTATAGACTTACATTGTACAATTGATATTCTGTATATATAATTATATTCTTTAATTAAAAATTCAACTTTTTGGAATAATTTTTGAATTTTAATTAATAAACATTAACTACAATAATTTTATATGATGAAAAATGTTGTGCATCCACAATAGATTTGACACTAAGGTAGATAAATTATGACCATTACAATGTTATTGAACCCATGCCAAATGCTGAAGATACAGAACAAAAAGCTCAGATTCTCATTCACATAAAGGAATTTTTAATAGATAAATGCACTTAAAATATTAAAATCATGGCTACCCATCTTTACCATCTAACAATATTTTCATGCAGCAGTAACAAATGATTTGAATCCTGATGAAATATTAGAAATATCATTTACATGTTGTAAGTTGACAATAATTCTTACAAGGAGACTTTCTGACATGGCTTGGGCAAGTGAGTGTTTGAATTTGCATTGATGAATAAATGATGACATGTGTGCTCTATAATGTTACCTGGAGTACTTGGTACAATTTTACCACACACAGATCAATAATTCTACATAAGGCGTATTGAAGCACTTGTATTGAAGAGTCGCAGTCTGTCTAGAACTTCAATCAATCCGAAACTGTACATCAATATCTTACAGTAAATACATCTGACTTTGTTCAAGTTAAAGTGGTTTGGGATTGCTGTATCTACAGACGAATTAATTTAAATGGAACATATTATTATTAATCACAGTATAAAGTTCTACATTACATATCTTCCTGTAGTTTTCAGATGAAACATCAATTGATAACATAACTTATACATACAGAAGATACATTCAACTGCATTGAAGAAAAATAAAAATTTCAATAGCATGAAGAGATCATAATCAAATACACAGAAAATACTGAAACAGAATTTTCATCCCTATGCAAGCCACTAAGCTTAAGCAATCACATCATAAATTCCTTTGAATAGACAGCCTTATTTTATTTGCAATATGAGATGTCTGTGTTATAATTAGCTTTCCTACTTTTTCTCTGTACAATGTGTTAACCTTTTCCTTCAAGCTCTTGGTATTGCCCCCTTTCTTCCACCTGCTGTCCTTTTAAATCACCTTAGGTCACAATTTAAAGCTAACCATATTGTATGCACAAGAAGTTAATCAATTACAATCCTGATTTTCTTATGAAGCCAACAAAATCATTCTCAAATACTTCCTCTCCAATAATGATCCATTTAATTTTCAATCATTTATTTATTTATTAATTGTTATATTTATTTCATTGTTCTTCTGTTTTATTTTTACTTTTTGATTTTAATTTCTTATGTCAAAATTTGAACTTTATTCTTTTTTTTTATCCTTTCTTTTCTATTCCTACCATGCCTACAAGATCTAAAAGTAAAATCCCTATGTTGTATATTCCTGTAGAATTTTCCTAAAAATGTTACTTACCTGTTGTTGTCTGACTAGACGAGCATTAAAGTCCAGATGGTCAATGAGCTGACACAGAACTTTTCCTTGTTGTATTTCTCCAATATCTTTAATGTCCTGGCCAGCATCACGAAGGATGCTATTGGCCCAACTCAAATATACCTACAATTTCAATAGCAGTTTGAATACACTATTAATGTTAATGAATTCTAAAAACATAACATATGATGAAAATATAATTTGCTTTAAAAGTTTGTTAATAAAGTTTATTGTTGAATAATAATAATATCTTAACAAGAAATTTTGACCAATTCAGCAGCTGATGAAAATTCTTCACCTTGTCCTGATATTCAACACAACAAAGAAGATATAGAAATCAATTAAATATAGGAGTTTTTTGGTCATTTTCATCTTTTCAAAACAGATGTTTGACAATCTGAAAGGGCATAAGGAATAAAAACACAGTTGCCTACATGTATATATACTATATACTAAATGTGCTTTAGTGAATAAACGTATACAAATGAAGTTGTGCACTGGGTTATATCAAAATTGTCAAATTTTAATTTCTGGATTGCAATCACTTAAAATTTTGCATAAATTATCAAATGTAAAGTGTACTACTTAAAAAAAATCCTTGTTTAGATAAAATCTAAGAAATAAAAACAAAATCAACAATGTTGTTAATTAGAATTATTGAACAAATAATGACAACAAAATAAAACAAATTTGAAAACTTAAGTAATCAGGATTAAATCCATCAAATGAAGGAAAATTTCAAGGGGAAAAGTCACTACTTTAATCCATGCATTCAAAAAGTCCAAAAAAAGTAAAAGTGAAGAAATGATTTTTTTTAAAGTTATGAAAATAAGGGAACAAAAATAAAAGCCTATTTCATGATCATTGAAAAATATGATTCCTTAATTATGTTCTTCAAACAGGTAGGTTAAGTAAAAATCTGGAAATTCTTTTTTGGTAAAATATGATTGATGATAAGTAGAATGAAGACATATCAAAATTTTCACATTTGGATATTTACAATGTTAATACATTTTGTTGGTCAAGTGCTTCTGTAAAGAGCATTCTTCATGGTAAAAAGTGCATGCATCAATTATTTCACCAACAGACGTGACATCTTTACCTTACGTCTCCTCATGTTCGTGTAAGTTCTTTTGCTGTATGTCACATTTTTTCTGATAAGAAAATTTCCATTAAAATTTGTTTCACATTTCACTGATTACTATTACCGGTACTAAAAAGGGTGTTATTAGACATGTATAAACTTACAGCCGACTCTGGTCTGATCAAAAATAAACTAACACAAGTACAAGATTGTCAACAGACGGTTAGACGAAAGGATTACAAAAGCTTATAATTAAGAGGCTTGTGCTTTATAAGGCAGAGCACTCATCATTGGAGAACAATCACTAATCTTTACTTTATTTCACACATTGACACTTCATAATGTAGAAAAAACTTTTCAGATTTCAACAAGCAGAGCTAATTAAGGAATGTTTTCTATTTGTCATAAACATGTATATTGGTAGTTTAGGTATATGCAAATGTTAGCTGAAAGCATTTGAATCAAGTTGAAAAGTGAAAAAAAAAACAAACTAATCAAATACAAGCATTTGGCTCGGAAAATAAAAACTCAACATGATAAATGAGATTATTATCAATTGATTAAAATTCTTATAAATATTCAGTTTCTTACCACATCTTTTCGTACAACTTTTATTAATGAATAATCTTTTCTTGATTTTTATTTATTATTTATTTTTTAATAAATTAAATGCATTAATTTCATAATTGCCATTAGCAGGCAACTGCCTATTTTGAGAGTTAGGAAACGACTAACACGTTACTGTCATAAAAGAAAATTCAGTGATGCAAACTGAACTAAAATAATTTTAAGAAAACAAATTAAGCAAACCCTTGCAAAGCCGATCTAATTTTTTTCATTTGAACGATTGAACATAAATACAAATTATTTAAAGTAAATAAATTAAGTTATTAATTCAATTTTGTTTACACATCAGTATGCGCTTGACAAACAGTCTAATCAAGCGAGATCTAAATAGTCATATCCAGTGCCCACTAAACCTATAATGGTCTCAAGTAGCGTCTATGATATACCCTTGTCTGCACCGTAGCAACAAGTTTCAACTTGCTTTTAAAGCATCGGTTTCTATTTTTTTCAATAAAAGTGAAATTATCCACCGCCATTAATTCATAAAGTAATGAAAATTACATACCTGAAGAACTGACATCGCTTGTGTGACTTTTATCCTCAATTACTCCTCTCCATCTTCTTTTTGGTGAAAGTGAAAGTGTTAGTGACGTGAAAGTGTCTCACTTGACCGCCATTTGTAAATAATAGGCGGAGATAGGTTAAGCACGCTTGCGCAACTTGTCATTGCTTTGCTATTTCCAGTTCCGGTATGACGACCAGCGCGGAAATCGTTTTTTTTTTTTTTTTTTGTCTAGCTCTTTTCAAATTTAGAATTTTAGGCTGTTACTTGCAGTTCCAACGATTTGACTTGCATGTCCAAGTGAAGTCAAAAAGATACAGGGTCAGGCAAATATCCACAGTGGTATAATGAGTTGTCAGGGACAGCCTCTATCTTATGTAGACTAAACAAACAGGCCTACTATAGCCATCACGAAGTCTCAGGACAGATTCTGCAACTGTATGTAATAGTTTCACAGACATTAAATTTCCGCTTGAAAGGTATAAATATCCAAGGTATTAGATAAAAGCACACATCTATTTTTGAATGATAAAACCGTAGAAAATCAGTTATCTGGTATGTGAATTTCCAATCACTTGTCTGATGTGAACAAAAATTATCTTTTAATTTGCAGGTCGATTAGGGGTCCTAATACAGCAAGCCACGTGGATCATAAACACAGTTTTTGCCAATTTTGGTGTCATTCAACTAGTCCAAACAACCTTTTCATACAGAGTTCTTAGTCTGGATCTAATATAAAAATCCTGAATTATGCACATTATGATACATGTGTGCTGTCAACATAAAAAGTGTTCATCTAAGTATTTCATGTTGGTGATTAATAATACAACTTAAACTATGGTAAGAATTTTCCAATGAAGATATGACGTGTATATTAAGGCATATTTTCATTGCAATTAAATTGTTAAGATGTGCCAAAATATCAATTGATTGTCTTCAGAATTAACACATTAATTAAAATAAATAAAGCATGATCATGTGAGATACATAATATAACTGGTGTGTTAGTTCTCCAGAACACAATTGTTTTTTAAATTGTATGTAAGGAGTAATTAGGGCAATTGTTCAGCTTTTGTGATCATATTAAACTAAATCGGTATTTTAATGTATACAGTATACATAGATATGTACTGTACATATATTTGTGTGTGGAATTGTATTTCGTAATTTGGTTCTTTCATTTTTTTTAAAATGAGTTTAAAACTATTTTTGCAAATATTTGTGTTGGTAAAATAAATTGTAATCAGAACACTTGATAAGTTGTAATTTTCATTTTTTTTCAGTGCACTATACTGGCAGCTTTGTCTTTCCATTATTGTTCCCATGGTAACAAATTGAAATTTGCACCCAATGAGGACATGTGAATATTTGGTCAGTTTTATCAAATTGTTGAAGTTCCAAGAAATATCAAGGGCACTCTTAAGATAATATAATATCAAATGTAGGCAGATTGACTTCATTTTTAGGAAAAATGGAAATTCTCAAGAATGTGCAGTATGCATGGTTGATAATTGAAATAATAACAAAAACTGCAAACATACACATTTTATGGTTGAAGAAAAATTGAAATGGTTACCATGGCAACTTTAGCTAGAATAACTGATAGGTATCCATTACAGCAGTATTTCGGAAGCTTTCTAAATTTGAAAAAAGAACCACTATATTTTTGGGATCAAAAAAGGCAGAAAACATAGAATCCTTTGCAAAAAAAGTGATGACAGGGAAGATTTATTTGATATCTTGTTCCAGTCAGCTGAATTTTTTTTTGAGAATTGTAGCTATAGACTTTAAACTTTTATATATCAAGAAGATCTTACTCATGCAGTTTATGGTTATTTTCTCAGTTCAGGATTGGAATTTTGAACTGAAATTTGGCTTTACGTGTATCAGTAATTTTTGTAGGCAAGTCCAGAACACCACACTTTTGATGAAGACCAATAGTATGTGATATATTGGGGTCTCCCTCAGTGATTCCCTCAGTGACTCCAGGAATCAAATATCCCAAAAATCACTGTTATATCTAGTAGTATTGTTAGCATCAATCATCTCCAAAAAACAAAAACAAACAGAATAAAAAGTTCCCAGAATATTGAACAATATCTTTTTTTTGATAGTTTATAATGCATGTCCCTCTGTACATCATGTGTTTTCATCTTTCAGGATCGGTTAAAGGAAGCATTTCGAAGAAAAGAAAGTGTTTTGTTTTGGTAAAACAAGTAGGCTGATTTAGCCACAAAGATTGGGTACAGCTCATGTTAAATTGCTGCTTTAGACTTTCCAAGTAACAAAGTGGCCAGCAGTAGATATGGGAAATATTGGTTTCTTTAGGTTGTGATGGTACCATTTGTAGTTGCTCGGAGAGATAACTTGACTGGCTTTGTAGTTGTCAAACATATACGTCTTTATTTAAAGACACAAAACCATTTCTTTTCAGCCAACAATCTAGATCTGTTCTGCCATTTGTCTGTCCATTGGTCCTCCTTCTGTAAACAATCCTTGTAATCCTGGAGGAGAACTTGAGGGATATATTTTTGTAGCTTGATATTTAGATTCACCTCGGTCCTGAGTTGTGCCTATTCAATTTTGTGTTTGATCAGTTGTGATTCAGACTGTGATAAAGGAAATATCTAAAGGACATTCAATATTTGGAAATTTTGTAACAGGTAAACATGTGCATGGTATGGTATTTTCTGTCTGTCAGTTGTCAATTTTCATTGGTGCAGAGATCTCCTCCCACAGTTTTTCAAACTCAGAGGTAAATTCAATTTACAATGTAATGAAGTTGTGTTTAACTGTTGGTTTTATTCCACTATGTTTGGAAAAGATTTTGCCCCTTGTTGTTTTTATAATGTTAATCTTTTGCAGCAATCTTATTTGTCAGTTTTCAACCGATTTCTTTCAGACTTGGTAGGATTAATAGTGATTGCATGAAGTTGTGTTTTAATTTTTAACAGAGATTTCTTTCACTTTTCCACTCACTTGTTCAAAGCTCTGTATGCACAAGTTTTATCATTAAAACATGTAGCTCTGTTTTCCCTCTAAATGTTTTTACTCATCATTATGATTTACATATTTGTATTGTTATTGCGATCCCCTTTTGTCCAGAGTCGTGCATCATCAACTTATAACATTTTCCACTTCTTCTGGAAAACTCCTGAATTGATTTCAATTAAATCATTCAAAAACCTTCCCTTGCTTAAGGTGCACTAAAATTGTAAATTATATGTACCGCAACCCCCAAGGGCCTGCGAGGCGGGGCCAGAAAGGATAAAATTGATAGAAACTTCAAAAATCTTCTCAAATGACATGTAGGGTAGAATCAAGTACTCATAATGGATGGAAAGGCCTTCAGATGCTTTACCAAAATCGTAAATTTCATGACCCCAGAGTCTCACATTTCACCCTGGGAAGGTGGTAGAATTTACTATACTTTATATCAGAAAATTACATTTTTGAACATTATTTGGTTATTTCCTATTGGAAAGTTGGATAGAATTATTGTTTGGAGATGACAGTTTCATGAGATGCACATATTGATCTCAGCTGACCCCAAGACTACATAAGCATGATGGGATGTCGCCAAGTCTACATCAGTATGATTGGATATCACAAAGTCTACATGAGTGTGATGGAATGTCACCAAGTCTACATGAGTGTGATGGTATGTCACCAAGTCTACATCAGTGTGATGGGATGTCACCAAGACTACATCAGTGTGATTGGATGTCACCAAGTCTAAATCAGTATGATTGGATATCACCAAGTCTTGTTAAGTGTGATGGGATGTCACCAAGTCTAAATCAGTATGATTGAATATCACAAAGTCTACATGAGTGTGATTTGATATCACCAAGTCTATTTAAGTGTGATGGGATGTCACCGAGTCTAAATCAGTATGATTGGATATCACAAAGTCTACATGAGTGTGATGGAATGTCACCAAGTCTACATGAGTGTGATGGTATGTCACCAAGTCTACATCAGTGTGATGGGATGTCACCAAGACTACATCAGTGTGATTGGATGTCACCAAGTCTAAATCAGTATGATTGGATATCACCAAGTTAAGTGTGATGGGATGTCACCAAGTCTAAATCAGTATGATTGGATATCACAAAGTCTACATGAGTGTGATTTGATATCACCAAGTCTATTTAAGTGTGATGGGATGTCACCAAGTCTACTTAAGTGTGGTTGGATGTCACCAAGTCTACATCAGCATGAGGGGATGTCACCAAGTCTAAATCAGTATGATTGGATATCACAAAGTCTACATCAGTGTGATTTGATATCACCAAGTCTACATCAGTGTGATTGGATGTCACCCAAGTCTACTTAAGTGTGATTGGATGTCACCAAGTCTACATCAGCATGAGGGGATGTCACCAAGTCTACATCAGTGTGATGGGATGTCACCAAGTCTACATCAGTGTGATGGGATGTCACCAAGTCTACATCAGCGTGATTTGATGTCACCAAGTCTATTAAGTGTGATGGGATGTCACCGAGTCTAAATCAGTATGATTGGATATCACCAGGTCTACTTAAGTGTGATGGGATATTGCAAAGTCTTCATCAGTGTGATTGGATGTCTCCAAGTCTAGTTAAGTGTGATGGGATGTCACCAAGTCTAGTTAAGTGTGATGGGATGTCACCAAGTCTACGTCAGTGTGATTGGATGTCACCAAGTCTACATGAGTGTGATGGGATGTCACCAAGTCTACATCAGCGTGATTTGATGTCACCAAGTCTAAATCAGCGTGATGGGATGTCACCAAGTCTACATCAGGGTGATGGGGTGTCACCAAGTCTACATCCGTGTGATGGGATGTCACCAAGTCTAAATCAGTATGATTGGATATCACCAAGTCTACTTAAGTGTGATGGGATGTCACCAAGTCTACATCAGTGTGATGGGATGTCACCAAGTCTACATCAGCATGAGGGGATGTCACCAAGTCTAAATCAGTATGATTGGATATCACAAAGTCTACATCAGTGTGATTTGATATCACCAAGTCTACATCAGTGTGATTGGATGTCACCCAAATCTACTTAAGTGTGATTGGATGTCACCAAGTCTACATCAGCATGAGGGGATGTCACCAAGTCTACATCAGTGTGATGGGATGTCACCAAGTCTACATCAGCGTGATGGGATGTCACCAAGTCTACATCAGCGTGATTTGATGTCACCAAGTCTATTAAGTGTGATGGGATGTCACCGAGTCTAAATCAGTATGATTGGATATCACCAGGTCTACTTAAGTGTGATGGGATATTGCAAAGTCTTCATCAGTGTGATTGGATGTCTCCAAGTCTAGTTAAGTGTGATGGGATGTCACCAAGTCTAGTTAAGTGTGATGGGATGTCACCAAGTCTACGTCAGTGTGATTGGATGTCACCAAGTCTACATGAGTGTGATGGGATGTCACCAAGTCTACATCAGCGTGATTTGATGTCACCAAGTCTAAATCAGCGTGATGGGATGTCACCAAGTCTACATCAGTGTGATGGGGTGTCACCAAGTCTACATCCGTGTGATGGGATGTCACCAAGTCTAAATCAGTATGATTGGATATCACCAAGTCTACTTAAGTGTGATGGGATGTCACCAAGTCTACATCAGTGTGATGGGATGTCACCAAGTCTACATCAGGGTGATGGGATGTCACCAAGTCTACATCAGCATGAGGGGATGTCACCAAGTCTAAATCAGTATGATTGGATATCACAAAGTCTACATCAGTGTGATTTGATATCACCAAGTCTACATCAGTGTGATTGGATGTCACCCAAATCTACTTAAGTGTGATTGGATGTCACCAAGTCTACATCAGCATGAGGGGATGTCACCAAGTCTACATCAGTGTGATGGGATGTCACCAAGTCTACATCAGCGTGATGGGATGTCACCAAGTCTACATCAGCGTGATTTGATGTCACCAAGTCTATTAAGTGTGATGGGATGTCACCGAGTCTAAATCAGTATGATTGGATATCACCAGGTCTACTTAAGTGTGATGGGATATTGCAAAGTCTTCATCAGTGTGATTGGATGTCTCCAAGTCTAGTTAAGTGTGATGGGATGTCACCAAGTCTAGTTAAGTGTGATGGGATGTCACCAAGTCTACATGAGTGTGATGGGATGTCACCAAGTCTACATCAGCGTGATTTGATGTCACCAAGTCTAAATCAGCATGATGGGATGTCACCAAGTCTACATCAGTGTGATGGGGTGTCACTAAGTCTACATCCGTGTGATGGGATGTCACCAAGTCTAAATCAGTATGATTGGATATCACCAAGTCTACTTAAGTGTGATGGGATGTCACCAAGTCTACATCAGTGTGATGGGATGTCACCAAGTCTACATCAGGGTGATGGGATGTCACCAAGTCTACATCAGTGTGATGGGATGTCACCAAGTCTACATCAGTGTGATGGGATGTCGCCAAGTCTACATCAGTGTGATGGGATGTCGCCAAGTCTACATCAATGTGATGGGATGTCACCAAGTCTGCATCAATGTGATGGGATGTCACCAAGTCTGCATCAATGTGATGGGATGTCACCAAGTCTGCATCAGTGTGATGGATTGTCCTCTGAAGTCACACAAGAAGGAATTCTGTTGACAAAAATCGTCAATGACTGTCGAATCGATGACATCTAGTGTGCGCTGTATAAAACACGTGCTACCCGCCAGAAACCAAAACCCTCTACCCAGACCGGTAAAATACCGAAATACAGGCAAATAGACATTATCAGCCCAATCCAACATAATGGAACATATCCGCCCACCCCCAGAATTAGACTTTTCGGCGTCTGAGGGAAATCTCCCAGAAAAATGGAGAAAATGGGAACAATCCATGCGACTATATTTAGATATAGCGATGTCAGATAAATCTGAAAAGGAAAAATGTAGTGCATTCCTATACATAATAGGACAAGACGGAAGGGAAATTTACAACACTTTCACATTCACAGAGGAAGAAAAAGACAAAATTGAAGTTTTAATAAACAAATTTAAGTCTTACTGTGCCCCGAGGGAAAACATAACTGTGTGGCGACACAGATTCTACACACGTACACAAGGTAAAACAGAAACTATTGATGAATATGTGACCGAACTACGCATTATTGCAAAAAACTGTAAATTTGGTACACTGGAAGATGAAATGTTACGCGATCGTATTGTCTGTGGTGTATTTTCAGAAAAGGTGAAAGAACGACTTTTGAGAGACAATCAACTCACACTTGAAAGGGCCGTAACTGCTTGCAGAGCCAGTGAGGAGTCACAACAAATGTTAAAAAATCTAAACACAGAAGAAGTCAACGCGGTACACAAAAATCATCGTGATAAACAAAACAGACCCCCCAAGGAACGTTATACAAATAGACCAACACATAGTGCAAGGGGAGGTAACAAGAAACAGTCAGTCAGGGGAGACAACTCCAACCACAGCAAACAACATGTAAAACAAAAACTATTTCAGTGTGGACGTTGTGGCACTAAACACGGATATCGGAAATGTCCAGCATTTGGTCAAATATGTGATAAATGTAAGGGAATGAATCATTTCGCTTGACAGTGTAAAACTAAAGTGGTACACGCGAATGAGGCAGTGGACATGGAAGGATTAGAAGACTTGTTCATTGGTGCAGTACATAATCACAAAACAGAGGTTGGAACTAATGAAGCTTTCGCAAATCTCAACATCAATGGAACAAATGTCAGGTTCAAATTAGACACGGGCTCCCAGGCCAACATTATATCGGACAAGTTGTTCAACTGTCTAAATGTAGAACCAAAAACCAAATTATCGGACACGGCAACGCGACTATCGAGCTACACTGGCAACAAAATACCCATAAAGGGGAAGTGTAGGCTCCAATGCCTAAATGAAAACGTTGAATTCTACGTCGCAAGGGAAGACACAGTCCCATTACTTGGATTCAAATCATGTCAAGACCTTGGGCTAGTAAAAGTGGTCATGATGACTGAAAAGGTTACTGAGCCGTCAGTGGATAAACAGGACCCTACTAGCAAGTTTCTGGAAATATTTAAAGGATTAGGTTGCCTTAAGGAGCCATACACCATCAAAGTTGACAAAAGTGTAACACCGGTTGTAAACCCACCACGTAAAATCCCTGCAAATCTACGCGACAAATTAAAAATCACACTCAACGAAATGGAGAAAAATGGTGTCGTGAGAAAGGTTGATGAACCCACTGACTGGGTCAGCTCCATAGTGCTAGTGGAAAAGCCCAAGTCAGGCAAGTTAAGAGTGTGCCTCGACCCGAGGAATTTGAACAAGGCCATAAAGCGTGAACATTTTGAGTTACCAACAATTGAAGATATCACAACGCGAATGTCAGGTGCTAAAATCTTTACTAAGCTCGATGCCAACAGTGGTTATTGGCAAATCCCTCTAGATGAGCCTAGCCAACTCTTGACAACCTTTAATACACCTTTCGGCAGGTACTGTTACCTACGCATGCCGTTTGGCATAAAGAGTGCGCAAGAAGTTTTTCAGAAGCGTATAGCACAACATTTCGATGACATTGAAGGTGTCGAAGTGGACATAGACGACATACTTGTGTTCGGAAAGGATAACGCGGAGCACGATGCTCGTCTCGATCGTGTGTTGCGGAGGTGCGAACAGATAAATCTCACCTTGAACAAGGACAAATGCAGGTTCAGCGAAAATGAGGTCACATATATAGGTCACAGACTGTCTGCCGCTGGTGTAAAACCAGATCCAGAAAAACTGAGTGCAATTACTGAGATGCCCCGACCAGTTGACAAAAAAGGAGTAGAGAGACTACTTGGAACTGTCAATTACTTAGCCAAGTTCATACCAAACATGTCAACCATCACACAGCCGATTCGAGAGTTGCTCAGAAAGGATGTCGCATTTCAGTGGAACAAAAGTCAGGATGACGCTTTCAAGCAAATACTAGGCATATTGTCAAAAGAGCCAGTACTAGCATTTTATGACCAAGATTACCAACCACCGTAAGTGCAGATGCATCAAAATACGGATTAGGTGCTGTAATTCTACAGAGGAATAAGCCCATAGCATTTGCCTCTAGAGCAATGACTGACACAGAGTCAAGATATGCACAAATAGAGAAGGAACTTCTTGCAGTTACCTTTGCTTTAGAACGCTTCAACAACTACACCTGTGGATCGCAGGCACTAACTGTAGAAAGTGATCACAAGCCGTTGGAAGCCATACTAAAGAAACCCCTATCTCAAGCGCCACCTAGGTTACAGAGAATGCTTCTACGTCTACAACGCTATGATTTCACTCTAATCTACAGGCCAGGCAAGGAATTAGTAGTAGCGGACACACTTTCTCGTGCATATCTTCCCAACAAGGATGGGAACATGGATGAAGAACTCAATTGTCATGTACACACTGTTTTGAACAGTCTACCTGTCTCTGTCAATAAAATGGATCAAATTCGCACTCGAACAGACGAGGATGAACAACTCAGTCAAGTTAAGGCATTGATAGAGAATGGCTGGCCAGAAAATAAAAATGTTCTAACAAAAAACCTACAAGAGTTTTGGAAACTTAGAAATGAACTAACTATCAACGAAGGCATAGTGCTCAAAGGAGAAAGGATAGTAATTCCGGAAAGTCTCCAAGATGAAATACTGTCAGATCTTCATGTAGGTCACTTTGGTATAGAAAAAACCAAACTCAGAGCCAGAAGTATTGTTTATTGGCATGGCATGAACACTGATATTGCTGACATGATATCAAGGTGTAGTACCTGTATGGATATGAGGAACAACAATCAGAAAGAACCTTTGAAGCCAACACCTGTACCAAGTGGACCGTGGCAAGTTGTGGGAACCGACTTATTCTCATGGAACCAGTCAGACTTCCTGATAGTCACTGATTACTATTCCCGATACTTTGAGGTAGCAAAGTTGGAGAACACTAAAAGTGTAACAGTAATAACACACCTGAAATCTATCTTTGCACGACATGGAATACCGTTTGAAGTGAGGAGCGACAATGGTCCACAATATTCCTCATCCGAATTCAAAACATTTGCGACAAAGTGGAAGTTTAAACACACAACATCAAGTCCCTATTTGCTCAAGCGAACGGCTTTGCAGAGAAATCTGTACAAACCATGAAACGCATCCTTGAGAAAACCAACGCTAACGGGCAAGATCCGTATCTTGCTCTACTCGAGTACAGGAACTCGCCTACGGATACAGAATCACCAGCACAACTACTCATGAGCAGAGAGCTTAGATCTGTGCTACCAGTTACCCAACTTAAACTTCAACCACGTGTAGTGTCTTCAGAACACGTTCAGAAAACCAGACAGAAATCGCAGCAAAAGCAGAAAAAATATTTCGATATTGGAGCCAAACGCCTGTCGGAATTAAATGACGGAGATAAGATTCGTTTTAAACACAGAGGACAATGGACTCCAGGAAACATTTATAATCACTCTGAATACCCGAGGTCCTACACAGTAGTGACACCTGATGGTGAGAAGTTTCGTCGAAATCGTCGAGACATCATTCAGGAGAAACACAGAGGACATTCCTGATTTCATGGAGCAAGAATCAACTACGAAACCTAGTGACACGCCAAAGCATAAGGCGACAGCACTAGCAATGCCCACCGGAAACTCTCCGAGTATGAAGACAAAATACGGCAGAAGTGTGAAACTGCCAGCACGATTCAAAGATTATGAGATGTGAAGTGCACAGGGGCAGAATAATCCCCTTTTTAATGTTAGGTCTCAGGCAGGACAGTCTATCCTGATCCTGGTAGTTATGCTTGATAAAATTCATCAGTAAAGAGTTCAAAATCAAAACTATTTTTGGTCCATTATCTTCTGGTGAATTTGGTCACTCATAATTGCAAAATTATCACATTTTATTTGTTGCTTGTGTTCCACATATAATTCTCAATCAAGAGGGTTGGATATACACTATTACTTAGAAACTGTGACAATATTATAAACAACAAAGAAATATTAAGTTTCAGACATGTATCAACATGCAGTTTAATTTCGAGCTATTTTGTTTCAGTATGGTCAATTAACCACAAAATACAAGTTACATATATATCATATGCTCCCTCCAATGACAATTGAACTTTTAAAGATAAAATACCTATTTTCAAAAGGGGAGTTGTAATGATCTATAGTAGTTGTAATCTCGTAAGAGTTATCTCTCTTAGATCCTCTCCTGTATTGGTTATATGACAGCCTCGTTCTGGGAATAAAAAACAAACATGGAGCTGAGAAGAAACGTGTTGTTTAGTCTATCGCTGAAACGTCTAAGCAAAGCAATATACTCCTATACGATGCTTACGGGGCTTATGTTAGATTTAGAGTATAACTTAGATACAATGTCTACACAATGTACAGATCGTGCATTACGCTTACACGGTAGATGTTCGTCTATGCATTAGGACAGACGAACGGAGGTGATCGGAAGATACGGGTAATTTACACTGATGTAGAGGTATGCAATATAACCACCATCAACTGATAAATTCTGCAGTAAAAACCACTTCACATCCATATCAAGTAAAGTAGGGATTATCAAATGTCTCGACAATAGTACAGCTGTCGTGATGTCATCTGATGTAAAACAAATAAAAATATGAAAGCGGGCACGTGAAAGGGGAGACAGGATGGTAATAGGAAGAATGGTACTATGAAAGCGGCAAGGGAAAAGGTGAAAGGGGGAGACAGGATGGTAGTAGGAAGAATGGTACTATGAAAACGGCAAGGGAAAAGGTGAAAGGGGGAGACAGGATGGTAGTAGGAAGAATGGTACTATGAAAGCGGGCAAGGGAAAAGGTGAAAGGGGGAGACAGGATGGTAGTAGGAAGAATGGTACTATGAAAGCGGGCAATGGAAAAGGTGAAAGGGGGAGACAGGATGGTAATGGGAAGAATGGTACTATGAAAGCCGCAAGGGAAAAGGTGAAAGGGGGAGACAGGATGGTAGTAGGAAGAATGGTACTATGAAAGCGGGCAAGGGAAAAGGTGAAAGGGGGAGACAGGATGGTAGTAGGAAGAATGGTACTGTGAAAGCCGCAAGGGAAAAGGTGAAAGGGGGAGACAGGATGGTAGTAGGAAGAATGGTGCTGTGAAAGCGGCAAGGGAAAAGGTGAAAGGGGGAGACAGGATGGTAGTAGGAAGAATGGTACTATGAAAACGGCAAGGGAAAAGGTGAAAGGGGGAGACGGGATGGAAGTAGGAAGAATGGTGCTGTGAAAGCGGCAAGGGAAAAGGTGAAAGGGGGAGACAGGATGGTAGTAGAAAGAATGGTGCTGGAATCCTTCAACGTCATCTTCAGTTTTATCTATCAATAAATACATATCAATAAAACATGCGTTAGAAAATATATACCATTTTATTTCAGGCTTTGCTTACGTGCGATGATAAGTTCTAAAACGGGAAAAGAGAGCATTGTCGTCACTCTTAAGTTTTTTATACCTCAAGAATTCAGTTGCTATTTCAATGCTTTGGCACATTCGAATTTAGCAGAAATCGTGAATACGAAATATCAGTAAAAAAAATTGCGATTCCAAAATATAGATGAAAAATCGTGGACGTAAAATTTCAGTGTAGACGTCTTGGACTCAAAATATCGCGTACGTGAAATCTCAGTATAAAAAAAAGATTCCAAAAAAATCACGGATGCTTAGATTCGGTATAAGAAGTCGCGGACGTGATAATCACGGTATAAAGAATTTGGAAAGACATATTGGTGTAAAAGTGGATAAAAGGTGGATTCGAAAGCATCGCTCATGTCATCAAGGGATGCTGTTATTTGGATAGGGGAAAGAATTGTGCCACAAGTCTTTTTATTATGTGAGACATAAGATCAGTAGATCAGTTTTTCTTCGACTCTCGATGACAGAATATATAACATATATATGATAAATACAGTTTTTAATCCTTATGTTTAAAACACGCATGCTTTTTCATGTGTCAATTATTACGTAAATCAATAATCAATTTCTACCCCAAGGGGGGATAACCAGTATCAATAATCACGACAAACAGAATATCGAAGGCCAAAACATGCGACAATAATATATGTACATGACATCAATTGTTTAAGGCATGTGTGTGTTGATGTTACACACCCTTAGTATACACATAGATATTTTATCTATATCTATTGTGTTCGTAAAAAGAGTATCGTCAAACGAAAATACATATTTTCTATAAAATCATTGGAAAACCCAACCCTTCGTTACAATTCCGTGTAATCCATGCATTGTACAGCTACAATCCGCATGTTTTCAAACAGAAGTTAGTTTTGGCGGGAAAATTAACCAAAAAAAAAATATTTTAAAAAGTCTGATACATTGTGACGTTCTATACACCTGTCGGTTTGTATTCAGAATTGTAGGGAGTGGGGAGGTGGTGCGGAGACAGAATTGTGGTGAGGTGGTGCGGAGACAGAATTATAGGGAGTGGGGAGGTGGTGCGGAGACAGAATTGTGGTGAGGTGGTGCGGAGACAGAATTATAGGGAGTGGGGAGGTGGTGCGGAGACAGAATTGTAGGGAGTGTCGAGGTGGTGCGGAGACAGAATTGTAGGGAGTGGGGAGGTGGTGCGGAGACAGAATTGTGGTGAGGTAGTGCGGGGACAGAATTGTAGGGAGTGTTGAGGTGGTGCGGAGACAGAATTGTGGTGAGGTAGTGCGAAGACAGAATTGTAGGGTTGGGGGGGGGGGGGGGAATTGTGGTGAGGTGGTGCGGAGACAGAATTGTAGGGAGTGAGGAGGTGGTGCGGAGACAGAATTGTGGTGAGGTAGTGCGGAGACAGAATTGTAGGGTTGGGGGGGGGGGGAGAGAGAATTGTGGTGAGGTGGTACGGAGAAAGAATTTTGGTGAGGTTGTGTGGAGACGGAATTGTAGGGAGGTGGTGCGGAGATAGAATTGTAGGGAGTGGGTAGGTGGTGCGGAGACAGAATTGTAGGGAGTGGGGGTGGTGCGAAGACAGAATTGTAGGGAGTGGGGAGTTGGTGCGGAAACGTGATATTTGATGTTGTTTCAAAAGAAAGAGAGAGAGAGGATGGGTGTCCAGGAACGTGTGATATTGAATACCAGAAAAGGGTGTGATAACAAGTTTCCTCTAGTAATCTAAAATCTACAGGGTAACTGCATATTGATATGCAAAAAGAAAAATAAACATTTTATTTATTCCACAATTTTGAATGCAAAATTTATTGATGTTCAATGATACCATATTCTTTCTAAAATTGAATGTGAAACAGAAATTATAGAACATATTATTTAGACTTCTGATTAAGATACATATAAATAAAATGTGGCAATGCTGAGATCATTGAACAATCACAACCAATAGTTTTATATTGGCCATCGTGCTTGACTGTAGAGTTAGCAAGTGACACGATTAAAATAACCTCCATTTAAAAAGAGTCTATAAATTACTGTAGTAATACAGTGTCTGTACGGAGTTTTAAATTTTACTATTATCGTATTAAAGTCGATTGGGTTTGGTTTTTTTTTTTATACATATATTTTGAGTAACGACACGTAGACAAGGGCGAGCAGAACATAACCATTCATCCCATTTTAGGTGAAGTAGGTTGGTCTCAGTTCTCGGGAAATATTTTAAAGTTATAAACCCTCGGTTGTTCCGGTTTTGCCGACTCTATTATCTTCTCTTCGGGTGGAAATACCATATCTCACCCCCAATGGGTTGAAACACTGTATTCATCTAAAAACAGAGAAAATTGGCATGAAACAAGTTCATATACCGAAAGGCAATCACCCGATATAGAATTCCTAGCTGAATTCTACATACTGCACCAGACAAGCAGTCACTCATATGTTTTCCTATGAAAATAAAACTATTTACTTGTATGTGTAGTCACTGGCCCCGATAACTACAAATGTTTGACATTTTATGGACTTGGCATATCAATATATAGTTGTAGTCGGAAATTATCTCCCTTGAAATTGGAGCTCTTCCTGTCGATATTGCAAGTTATCGACCTCGATTTTTCGGAGAAATTGTTTTTATTTTCAAGGCCACTTCTCAGAATCTCTATTACAAACTGGATGTTTTTCTTTGAATATTTGGTCATTGTTTAATTACGTAATCTTCTTGCAATATAACGAAA